AAGAAATTGTAATGGAATTTGGATTGAGAGAAATAAATTCAAACCCTATTGATGAAAACAATTCCGAGATTCTCTAAAGCAGTGTTCATATTTTTCCAAATATGATATGAACTGAAATAGACGAATGTTTCTAATAGTGTTTTGATTATATGTGGGCACTGATGCACTTCATGACCACTGTTGCAGATTTGGGAGTCATAACCCACAAACTTCATTAGTTGACCCTACTAGGGGTTTCGGTCTGCAGTTGAGAAGCCCTGTTTTACATATTGCCATGCCGTTATCAGTAATCATCGACTTTTCAGCTTTATTTTTCTGCAACAGCTTGATTGTCTGTTTGTTAATAAGAGTGTGAGGGTTTAACTACTCAGCAATTTCTTTGCAAAAAAAAAAGTTAAATGCCCCTGGGATCAGGCTCTTCCTGTGAAGAAAGCAATATGCAGATGTTTCTTCCTATTTGTAATTTCTCTTATTATATAATATGTGTACCAGTTTTATGGCTATAAAATATTCATTTAACTTGTGAAATATACTACCTTATTTTTTCAAGCATGCTGAAAGTGGATGGATATACTCACCTGGCAGTGGAAGCCTCCCCTGTAAGATTCTGTGGTTCCTAACTGACCTGACCTAGATCTGATGGGGAACTTCTTAGCTTTCCTTGCCTCTTCTGTTAGAAATGGTCTCCCCTTTTTATGCAACTTCCTGAACTGTGCATCACCAGATGTTCCTGTCTCTTGATTTCACTGCCTCACACGAGCTTCTAATCTTCCTGCCATTTGCTGCCTTGACTTTTTTAGCATGGCAGTTCAAACCTCTACCCTGAAACAAGGCAGTAGGAGGCAATTTACAGGCCATCACCCCTGTCACTTGTGGCTCTGTAACAGTCTGAGTCAGAACATTATTACATTAAAACTGCATCCAGAGGTGTGAAGTCATAATGTAGACAGTCATTTCATTGCAATACTAAAGGAATGCTATAATGTTGGAGGTCTGACCATGACACAAAGGAGCAGAAGTAGGCCCTTTAGCCCATTGAGTCTGCTCCACTATTCAGTGAAATAGTAGCTGATCGGATCATCATGAATTCCACTTTCCTGCTTTCCCCTATGGTCGTCTTGACTGATTTAAAACTGTCCATCTCCGCATTGAATTTCCTTTAACAAACCAGCCTCCACAGCCCTCTGTGTGGCAAAGCATTTTATAAATTGATTATTCTGAGAGAAGAAATACCTCCCCATCTCTGTCTTACTTTGAGATTATGCCCTCTAGTCCTACATTCTTCTACAAGGGTAAACAGTCTCTCTGCTCTACCCCTTCAAGCCCCCTAAGAGTTGTTCATATTTCAATAAGGTTGCCTCTCATTCTTCTAAACTGTGTACAGGCTTAACCTACCCAACCTCTCCTGAAGACAATACCTCCATTCCTAGAATTGACCTAATGAACTTTATTTGGACTTCTTTCAATGCCATTATACCTTCCCTTCGATAAGGAGGCTAAAATTGTTAGATCATGCTTAGAATACTCTGAACTAGCGCCTTGCATGGTTTTAGCAAGGCTTTCTTATTTTTATACTCTATTGCCTGTGAAATAATGTCCAACATTCCATTTGCCTTCCCTATTACCTGCTGAACTTTGTATGTTGGCTTTTTCTGATTTATACATGAGAACCTTCAAGTTCCTCTGTGCTGTAGCTGTCTGCAGTCTGCAATCTTTGTCCAGTTAATAACATTCATCTCCTCTCCTCTTCCTGCCAAAATACATAACCTCACATTTTCTCACATTGTATTCCATTTGCCAAGTTTTTTCCAATTCACTTAACCTACCTATATTTCTCTGTAGACTTTGTCTCATCCTCACCACTTGCCCTCCCTGTGGATAAGAAATTTAACCAAGCACATATCTGTCCTCTCAGGCAAATGTAAACAATCCCATGATATTAACTGCCATTCTCCATTCATATGGGCAACATTTACCCCTCGACCAATAGTAATGATCCATACTATCGGATTATTTACCTCATTGACCTTGGGGCCTTGCTTAGATACAATTGGCTGCTCTGTTTTTGTGTTGTATAACATGTGATCATGTTTCAGATACTTAATTGGCTGTGGGATGATTAGGTCTTGTGAAAGCTGCTGCATAAATCTGAGTTCTTCCCCTCATGAATATAATTCAAATCCCCAAAAGTTCCTGCAAGGGATTGAGGCCATATTTTCAATAATTGAAAACTAAGATGCAGCTAAAGCTGTGCAGATTATTGCTTGGTTAAAGAGGCCTTGGGTTTAGAAATTAAAATGCAATGTATGACAAAGCAATGGAGATTGCTGAATAAGTTTGGTAAACCATTGATTCAGCTTTTCAAATCACATGGGATGAAGATTCTAGGTAAATGTTTGAAATACTATTGCACTGCTAATTTTGGAATAGCTGTACTACTTCTCCCCTTCCCAGGTCAGAAGTACAACGAGATTTGTGTGCCCTTTATACACCAGTTGCTGAAAGTTAACCTGCAGGCGCAGCAGATGGTGAAGAAGGAAAAGGGTGTGTTGGCGCTTATGCCTAGAGGATTAGAGTACAGGAGCAGGGCTGTCTGCCTGCAATTGTACAAGGCCTTTGTGATGCCATACCTGGAGTATTTTGTGCAGTTTTTATCTCCTTATCTGACGAAGGATGTTTTAGTGCAACAAAAGCTTATTAAACTGATTCCAGGGTTGATAGAACGGACTCAGAGACTGGATCAGTTAGGACCATATTATCTGGAGTTTTGAAGAATGAAGGGGAAATCTCAAGAGGACATGACAAGATAAACACAGGAAGGATCTTTCTGATGACCTGGGAGTCGAGAACCAGAGTTACTGTGCGAGTACATAAGGTAGGATATTTAGTACAGAGATGATGGGACATTTCTTCCACCAGAAGTGGTGAACCTGTGGATTTCTCTGCCACAGAAAGCAATTGAGGCCAAAACATTGAATGTTTATGTATTAAAGAGCCTCTGAAGTGATTAAGATAGAGTTTTAAGCTACATTGTTCGTTTAATCCTTGTTTAAAACACAACTGGGTAAAGGAACTGAAGCCAGTGCTTGAAACAAATGCCCAAACGAGTTTTAAACAGCTGATTGTTACTTAAAATGTCTACAAGCATTCTGAGATTAATGTTATTTTAGTGCCAGTGCTGCATCTAACACCCTGTCATAACAGTAGATAGCTGTGAGTGGACATGAATTTCATGTTGATTTCAAGTGCTGCTTAAAGAGATACTTATTACTCATGTTGGTTGCTCATGGAGCTATGGAGAAAACCTCTGACATGCATTGGAAGTGTTTAATGTTTTAACGAAGATCTGTAACTTGGGTTGTGGTTGGAGTTGTTGGTTGATTCGCTGATTTGACTGGTTTTCATGCAAACCAACAGCCACACTTCACCACCAGTTACACTCAAAGACAAAAGACCCCATACCCACAATGAGCAGGACAAATGTGATACACAAACTAATGAGAAATCCTGGAGGCCTGGTTTTCAACCACCGATGCGATAAACAAACATGTTGAAATAGACCCCATTTACATTCCACTACGGTACAAAACCGGAAACCAGACTACTCACCATGACAGACCGGACCATATAAAGTCAGAACGGGACAGAGCAACAGCGCTTCAGCGGAGGCTAGACAGCACTGAAGATGTCCCCTAGAAGGGAGATGAAATGTTTGCACGAAAACCAGTCAACTCGGCAAACCAACACATTGGAAGATTTTGGAATATGGGCAGGATCTTGTTTCAGAACTTCTAAGTTGGAGTCAAATGGGAGTCCCCACACAATGTGGGAAATAATTACTTGGATATTATCTTCCTCCATTTAGTCACTTTTTTAGTTACCAAAGGGCGGTTTCACCAACTAATTAAAAATGGTAGTAGGCTATGCAGAATACATGTTCTTTCCAACTTTGTAAACTTTTGAATAAAAATGAGTCTGATCAGCTGGTTGCCGTTTTTGAGGTTGCAAGCCATCATCTAGAAGGATTCTATGTGGCCACACAGGTGTAGAGTGCTCAAAGCCTAGCTGGAGCAATGGCTCATTAGTTTTCCATTAGGTAGGTGTTTTTCATGAAACGGTCTAGTCCTTGTCATCTTGGGGGTGGGGGGTCTTGGAGACCGACAGAGAAATTCTAGTCAGCCTCTGATAATGAACCATTGAGTTGTAGTTGTGGTTTCAGTTACTGCATGCAACAGATATAATGCCCCTTGTAACTTGCATTCTGGTTGGAGTAAGAAGCAAACTTGTGCTGTTTCTGGTCATCTTCCTAGAAGCCAGTTGCCACTTTGGCCATTCATCATTGCATGTAACAATTCTATTTTGATCTACAATAAGTACTTGTCAGATAATATAGTTATCATTAAAACATACAAGGTCTTGCAGCATGATTTTCTTGTGCTATTTGGTATTGTTTCAATGTCACACAATCCACTTTTGAACTGCCTTTGTTACAATATAATTTTCAAGTCAGAATTTGTCTTAAGTATTGCCTGTACAAATGTTACAGCTCTGAGCTTTTGATCAAATGGTATTCTTTCCTCATCATTTCTTTATACACTGTCCCTTAATTGAAGAGGCTTTGTAAGGTCTGTGCCAACATAGTTTAACTGTTTCTTTTTCCATTTGTGGAGAAGTATGTTGCTCTGCTTTTGTATCCTTTACTAGCTAACTGAATGGGAGCAAGGTAATGAAATTTGGGTTGTGTGGTTCCAGATCCATACGCTGTTCCTCAGTGTTCATTGAGACAGCGTATCATAAATATGTAGGAAGTTCAAAGACAGTGAAGCTTAAAACATCTGATATTCTAAACGTAAATTTTGACTTGTACATAATTTTTGTCTGAGATATTTCTGCATTGTATTGAAGGTTATACTATTTGCTTGAGATAAAGTTGACAGTTGACACATCGTGGACAGTCACTTACCTCATTGCCATTCTGTTGATGCATCTGTTTTCTCTCCAGGATTTGGAATGCACTGACTGATAACTATGGTAATGTAATGGCTGTGGACTGGAAGACATCCCACACCCGTGCTTTGCACCTGCCAACATTGAATCTGTCAGAAAAGGCGGTGAGTATTTCACCATTGACTGCCTGCCTTGGGCAACACTGAATTCGAGGACTTTTGTTTCTGCTTATAAAATCAACTTAAGTTGTGTGAAACAGCCCATTTATTGTAATAGGTTAATTTATGATTTTATGATTTATAAATAATAATTGTATTTTTATGCCCAATCTTTTGGTAGCTGGTGACTAAAATACCAATAATAAAATGTTTGTTAAAATACATGTCGGTTTATATATTAGTATTTTCATGCAGAATTTACTTTTGTGCCCCTTTTTAATCTGCTTAAGGCACCAGACGTGTATAATCAGATAAAACCATGTAAACTCTTCCAGAATTCAAATGAAAAGACTGCAAATAAAAAAGCAGCTTGATAGCCTTGTTGAGGCACGGCTGCCAGTTCAGTTTTGATTGTGGTTCTCCATAGACTGGATACCCAGGCACTTATAGCAGTGATTGACAGGGAGATTACCCAATTATCTCCATTCTAGCCAGGAGTAATGATATCAGTATGTTTAGCCTATTTTAAATGCTACAAATAGGAGATAATATAAAATGTTGGCAATCCACAGATATATTACTGTTCCCACAGCTAAAACTTCTGTAATGAATGTAACTTGGAGTTCCTGTTGAAAGCTTATAAGCTACTGAATGAAATCTGAAATCCTTTTGTTCCCTTGCTATACTGTAGTGGAAAAGATGTAAAGGAAATCTAACATAATCCATGTAAATCTGTAATATGTCAAAGAAATATTTTGGATTTTTGAAGCTGCAGCAACATGAGGATTGTCTGACACACCTTAAAACAGTCCAGGTGTAATTTGGTTTTGAGATGCAACTGTTTAATGTGCTCCCTTTCTCTGGTATGCTAAGTTAGAAGTCTGCTAATGGGCTCTCCAGTACTGAATAACACAACCTACTTCCATCTGTCAATACACATTTATACATAGAGAGTCATTCTCTGCAAACAACTGGAATATGTTCAAGTCTTGTACAATTTCTGAATTACTTGGGAGCTCTTATGGCTTTCACCATGGCATGTCTCAGTGAATCAGGGTCAACTTGCCAACCAATCAGCACCCTTTTCTTCCATAGCACAGACTGTACTTCTTTTTCATTCTATTGGATATGGGCATTGCTGGTTGAGCCAGCATTTATTGCCTGTCCCTAGTTGCACTTGAGAAGATGGTGGTGAGCTCCCCTCTTCAGCTGTTGCAGTCTATTTTCTGTAGGTAAATGCTGTTGGGAGTGTTGTCAGTATTTGAAATTTGGTATTCTTGCATTTTGTCTTGATAAGTGCAGGATGAAGTGTTTTGGCAACATGTATCTGTTTCAGCAATATTCAACTTTTAAAAGTGAATGACTGAAAGGATCACATGACAGGATTTCAAGTTTGAAGACTATTCCATCTAAAAACATCGACTAAACACTCTCTTTCAATAGTTCAATTTTATTCTAAATTAGAGAATAGATATTATTTAAATATTTAAATGTTCTAATAACGGGAAGTCCCTGATGCAGTCAATCTTGTAAGCTGCACTTCTACACTGCAATTGCAAACGTACAGCATAGACAAGCAGAAATGACTGTGTGCAGAAGGTATGTATGTATGTATGTGCAACCAGGCATCAAACTTAAAGGGACCACACAGTTCGTCAAGCTAGTTACGCATGGCAAATTAAAGTTAAAGGAAACATTGTCATGGTTACATTTTACTGTGTCTCTGAGGTGACCCCTTCATTGTTCTTGAATCAGTCCAAAGCTGCTATTGGTTCTCTTTTTCTAGCGAATAACTTTTTGCATATTTCAATATGGCAATTACCCTGCTGTGTTGTCGAGAGAGACTTTGTATGTCTGTCAGGTTTTTTAAAATGTAAGGCTGTTGATTTCTGAAAGCAAATGTACCACAGGAAGTTGTAGTCTGAGCCATACGGAGTTACTTAATATCAGCCATAATTGAGGAAGATGCTTTACAATTGAATTTGGAGGTAGGATTTTCTCTTTGCTATTGTATTTGAATATATTTCTGTCCTTGCATGACATCCAAACATATACCTCCCAAAAGATACATGAGCCCTGTTTGATTTCCCTGCACACTTTTGGATGTGCCATTTGGACCGTCCTCCGAACACAGTAATCTAAGGCAACAAGCCTTCTATTAGAAAAATCCAAACTTGTGGGCAAAAATTAAAATCCAGAAGTCAGCTAGAATTTAGAAACATTATTGTGATACTTAACGATGTGACCCATCCAGCCACTTTTCTTGTGCAGAACAAAAGGCATTTAATTTCGTTGTCTCTCTGCCTACACACGTCAATGCCGAACCTACCTTCAGTCATGAGTCACTGGGTAGTGAGCAAAGTTCATTGCGTAAAAACTATCAAAGATATTTTGTAAAGACATTTGTAAGCATTTATTATTTACTTCAAAAAAAATTATTCTTCCTTCAGAAGTTGTTCTGTTAATTGAACCTGGTCTATTTTGATGTTTTATTTTTGACCCAAAACGAGTATTTGTGCGCAGCTGATTCCATCCAATTGCAGAAGAAAGTGAAAAGTGAAAATCAGAAGGCTACCAATGTTTTTAATCAATTGAGACACATGTCTTAAAGTGAGCATCTTTTCACTGCTGATCCTGTAAATCTTGTTGACATCTAAATGAATCCAAACGGAGTTTGGCCAGCGAACACACAGAACTCCACTTGTGGTGATACAGCTGTCAAAAAATGTATGAAAATGGAGATGATTAACCAGTGTTGCAAAAATATAATACTTAATGCTACAATTATAACTAAATTGCCTTACCATTTTGGAATTGTGCTGTTTTTATATAGCTGGGTTTAATTGGTAAAATGACAATGATTAGGGGAGCCTCTATTTTGATTGTCAAATTAAATTGAGTTAAACTCATTTCTAATATGAATTGTGGCTGCATATTTAGGAATTAATTCTATTATAACTATTTTGAAGAATTTTTAAATAAAATGTAGATTGAATCTCTGTGCCTCTATGCTTGTCTAGTTATTGAAATTAAATTGATCTATTATAACTTTGCTTATAAACTTGGAGGATGTGCTAATCCTAATGGGTAGGAACTTTTAGACTGGGACTTCATTTGCATGACCAATGAATGTAAAGGACCTCATCAAACTGTTTGAGGTCTTGGAGAATGTCCTCCTTTCAATTGAATATCTTGAAATAGCTTGGCTGGTCAGTCATGTCATTTTAATTTGCGCAAAGGTTCCAAAAAAAAAATTGCCATGTTTTGCTACATTACAACAGTGAAAGCCCAAGGAGAATGTTCACCATCATCTTATCCAGGAAACACGAAATGGGGGGGAAAAAAAGACCGCCATGCCAATGACTCCCTCATCCCCAAAAAAGGTTTTTAAAATGAAACTAGGATAAAGGTTTCGGCTAAGTATGAATAGCAAATGTAGCTCTTAATCCTTTAAAAATGGATGGAGACAAATAGTTAACCAATAGAGAACCCAAATTTGACTGTTTGAATGTATACAATGCAAGGTCTCAAATCATCTTGGTTGCTGCAGTAAGGGCATACGTACGGGTGGATTGTATGTAATGATAACGTAAGAGGATAAAATGTATGAAAATGAAATGTACAACGGTGTTTTGTCTGGTCTGCTTGTAAAGTATTTTGCAATTCTGTATGCATTTCTCTGAATGACAAACTGTACAAACATTCTGTTAGTGTTTCATTCCACAGTGATTTATCTACTTGATATATTAAATTTATAATAGAACTGCCTCTATAGAGTTAGTTAAAATTTATTGTAATTAATAGAATATTGTTACTTTTATCCATACAGAAGTATGTAACATGTTTTTAGTATTGTATTGTGATAAAGTCTGCAACAAGCTTTGGTGTGGAGATAAAACAGCAGGTTCTTGAAGGAAATTTGAGAGATGTTTTGGATTAAAGTCAATAACTACTTTTATATTGGCATCTATTCAAATCGGCTACAGCAGGAATTAACTACAGCAAGAATTTGCAATTCAACTGACTTTATAGTTAAATTGAATTCCAATTAGCTGCCAAGTTACATCTTAATTTCCTATTTTATTTTTACCTGATGGGTTCCGTATCCTAAATTCCATGGGACTGCACTTCCCATCAAAAGTGTTTTTTGGACCTAAGTTGCCAACATCAAAAAAGACCCAGCTCAAAAGAGTTTTTGGAGCTAGTTCCCCATATAGTACTGAAAGATTACAGCTTGCAGTAGTTCATACTCAGGAATTAACTGGTATGAATTGAAGTACGCTAGTCCCAAGAGGCTCCTACTGCTGTATAGCAATCGGTTACCATGCATTTCTACAGTTCTGTACAGAATTAATGTTAGGATTTCATACTTCGCACTGTCACCAAGGATTTGCATTGAAGTAAGAGGTGTGGGCACACACTAATGCCTTTCAGTAACCTTTATACGTAAAACAGCTTAATTTTTAGCAAGAATTGAGTGTATGCGAGTGCATGTGTGAGATCAGTCCAGAGTATGGATTTCTTGTCTGCAGGCCTTAATTATTATTGCCCATTATAATCTTCCTTCAGATCAGTAGTCACTGTTGTAAAGTGTTCTCGTTTTAGTTTTGTTATGTCACCTGTTACAAGCTTTGTTAACTACGTCAATTTTGTTACAATCCCAATGGGGGAGCTAGAAACCAAAATAGCTATATTTACCAAGCACCCCATGAATGAAGAAATTATTGAGATGATTTCACTCTTTGTAACTTCTACTTTAATATGAATGAATGAGGATCACTACAAATTAAACATGAATGAGATCCAAATGATATTTCAAGTAAAGGCAAAGGTAAATTTCACTTTAAATAATTTAATGCAATGAAGGTACTTTTTTCAACAAGTACAAGCTGCTGTGTCATTCACCACAGATGTAGCACCATGTGAAGTTCCAAAATTCTGTAACATTGGATCTCTTGCTTTTCTACTCAATTGATCCAGCCCTCTAGTTGCGATCATTGGCAGCA